ATTCATAGCCATTTTATTCACAGTGTTGAGTTTTGGATTTAATTTTCTTGACATGTATTTTTTATAAACCCCAAGACAGAAGACAAACACTTGCTAACATAGGATTTCATTGTCTACATAACAGTTTTCCCTGAGTTCCAAAATTATCTTTTCCTAAAGATGACTCTTATAAAAGCTGTCATATCAAACTATTCATTTCTATATGAACAGAAATCATTGCTTTTGAAAATAGGATAGGTTCTAGGATATCTGCAAATACAAACCTTTTACTAATTAAGGCACAATGGCCCATCCACAGCTTACAAATTGTCACTCTCATGGTTGTTCTCTTCTGCATAAATAATGCTGCACTGTGGCAGGATGGTATAATAGTCAGACCTACCACGTAACATCAGAAAGAAAGGTCTGAAACTTGGGAAGTACAATCCAAGCTATGCTCAGAGGGAGATTTATGGTTTAAAATGCCTAACTAGAAAATAAGAAAAGTTTCCAAGCAATTTTCAATCACTGAGGATTATCACACTCTTAGTTAGAAAACAAAAAGGAGAAAATGGAAAAAAATAGTGAAAAATAATAGGAAAAGAAAACAAAATATTGAAAAGGGTCAACTAAGTCAAAAGGTGGCTCTTTGAAAAGAATAGTAAAATTAATAGATTCCTCAAAGTGGCAAATAATCCTCTTCTAACCACCTACCCCTCCTGCTAGTACCTTCCTCTTCCCAAATAGTCCTCTTTCTATTTTCTTGCCATATGCATGTGTGTGCACACAAATAATCTGTAAAAGGTTCCACATGTAAGGGGAGGGGTGCAAATTTATCTTTCTGAATCTGATGGATATCACTTAATATGATGGACATTATATCCCTGACCCTGTCTTTGAAGAGTTTCATTGTCTATATCCTTATCTCTGCAACCATTCCTGTGATAAGTACAGATTCCTGGAGTTTTCCAAGCAACTCATGACATCAACTTAATAATATAAAGACTAAACCTTCTCTTTTTAATTGCCTTCTATAGTTCCTCTGTGGAAATAAAGACCAACAAAATCACCAAAGCAAAAGCTATTTCTTCTGAGCTTGCTGTAGTAAGGGAGTCAGCCACCTTCATCTGTGTTTTGTCAGAGACCCAAACATGGGCAGTGGACAGGAAGTTTTGTAGTAGAAAAAAGAGAGGTCTCAAAGGCTGTTGGCCAGGGACAGGGTGGACACAGGCTGGCTAACCAGGAGCAGAGTGTCCAGGGTGACTGGGTGGGTGGGCATAGCTGGAATTGGAAGTGGGACAAAATTAGCAGAGCTGTCAGTTGTGACCTTTCTTTATTAATCAATTCCTGGCCATTTGGGACTGACAAATGCTAATGTTCAGCTTCCCAGATTGTTAAGAGATATAAACCTGCCTTCATCCAAGGCTATCTGAACAGATTAGTTTCCTGATCTGCTCTAAGGACCAAGTTTCTTAGATGGGTGTTTGCAGGTTGTGGACCAAAATTCTATGTTTATTTCTGGCCTTGCCATTATC